ACGTTATAAAAAAGTATTGACGAAATATTACCATTTATGGCAATATGTCTTTCCGTATGTTTTAAAGATTTCGAGATTTTGTAGTATAAAAAGATTTTTTTTTTTTAATAAGTATAAGAAATCCAAAATTTAGCAAAGATGAGATTTGATAGTTTCCAAGCTAAGATTTTGTAATGTTCTAAATCTACGATTCTTAGATTATGAATGGATTATTTACGAAATGGTTATAATGTGGCCAGATTTTGGTTTATATACAATTGTGGTTATAATGTTTTTCTTCGAAAAGTTAGAATTCCTCCAAAAAATAGGATTTTAAGTATTCGTAACATATATAGAAAGGAGATTATCTTATTTATCTAAGTAAAAAATTTATGAAAGATGTAAAGATTTTGTAGTTTTGAATTCGAGATTCTTGAACCAAATGTATATATTTTATTATTTAAATATAAACATAAATATAAATATAAATAAAAAGATTGTTTACCCATCCTCTAAAGAAAATTTATATAAATGTATATAAAAAATATAAATATAAAAATACAGTAATATAAGATAAACAAAAAGTGTATGTTTTTAATTATTAATGGGATATATGGATGTATGAGACTAATGGCAAATTCAGTAAATAGTCTAATAAATCTTGGGTAATTATCTAAATAGAAACCAAATCATTGTGAGAGCGACACATCAGCGTGGCAATCTTGTTAATAACACATGATGGTAAGGTTTTTTTTAAAAAATGTTTCTTTATTAATATATAGGGGATACTTTCAGAAACAAAAAAACTTCCAAGTAATTTGCGGAAACGTTAGTGGGCTTTAAATATAACATAAAGCATCACTGAAATTGGATCGTATTCAATTTTTTTAGTACGTATAATTCTCTTAAAATTCGAACATCTCAATTATCGCAGAGGGACATTAACCATACGCCGAAAGATTTGAGATATAGCCAGAGATCACATGCGTGCGTTTGTCTAATCTGTTTTGTAGATCAATTAATTAAGTCACTCTATCGCTATGATACGCAACAAAATCTTCTCAATCCATTTCCCCTCAACTCGAGAAGCTAACATTCTAGGTTTTTTCAGATTTCTTACAAAACAACATTCGATTTAAAGATGCATTTATTGTAATAATGTTGGATTTTGGATCCTTTATTAAATCCAAGGAATCAGTGAGAAGAAGATGAAGAAAAGAGAGAACACAACGAAGAAGAAAAAAGTCGCAAAGTGTCGTGAAGAAAGTCAACCATAAAAGGAGAAGAAGCAAAGTCAACAAGAAGAAGGAAGTTGGGCTTTGTGTGGTTTGGTCCTAAGAAGACTAGTGGGCTGAGTTTTGGTTAAGGCCCAAATAATGGAAGTGTGTTTTTGTTAGTCTAAAGCTCAGCCTAAGTAGAGTTGCTAAAGTGGAGTTGTTAGGAATGGTTAAGAGTTGTTGTACTTGTTAACATTGCTTGTAAAACTAAGTATGAGTAGTGTGGTTGTGTAAGAGCCTAGGATCTAGAAGTATGGTTTAAAGTATGGGAGCATGTGTAAGGTGCAAGTAGAGGATGTAGTATAAGTATGTGTGGGTTGTGTCTTGTAAGAATTATCCTTGTGATCCAATATTATCAATGTAGACAAAGTGTGAGAGAAACAAACGAACAAGAAACAAAGTGTGAGAGGTAGAGAGAAAGAAAACAAACCTTGGTGAGTGAAAGTGAGAAATCCAACAAAGAAAGTTGTTTTTGGTTGAATATATTTTACATTCATTAAAAAAAAAAAAATTGCTCGCTGTGAATTTATCTGTTTCTTCTTGATGGGAAACGGCGGTTTTTATTAGAAATATCGTAAATGGATCTTGTGAAAGCTACAAGGAACTGTTCTTTGATGTTGTGAATGTTTGTTCTTCATCGAAATCATGATATGGGGTAAAACTGAAGGTAGCCTAAGGAAGCTGAAATCGATTTGAGATTTTGAGAAATCTATCATTTTATTTTGTTTTAAAACAAACATGTAGTTAACTGTTGTAGGATTGACAAAAAAAAATAAATAAAAAGTTAACTGTTGTAGAGCACATTTAGCGTGGACTAATTTGGGTTTGATTTTATGAGATTTTTTTAGTCGAATTAGCGGAAGTTGGATGAACAAGTTTTGGTCATTTTTCCCACATGTTAGTGTTAATTTTGTTTCTTTGATAAATACTTTTTTCAAGTAGCAATAATTTTATTTTAAATAAAATTAAGTAACAATAACTAAACTAATGTTGAAACTTATAGAGGTGGCCAAGTAAAATCTAAACATTCAGTGAGTAGTTTTGTGGGGGAGGTTAAAATGAATGATGAATCCATTCTGTTCCTCGTATAATGGGTGCGGTGAAGTGAATTTACGTAGTCGTTCTTACTTCACATTTATAATCATTGGACCACTTCAGAAATATTGTCGACCGTTCTTAAATCGATCAAACACCTACCAATCAACAAACCATGTATTTATTCAAACTGTCTTTTTTTTTTTTTTTTTGTCTAGTTGATACTATAATATCTGCTGTTTATGATTAACCTAAACAGAGGAAAACATAAATAAGGAAGTCCTCGCTTGCACCATGCATGCTATAGTATTATGATATAATTAAATTAAATATTGTACTACAACAAAAAGCAATATCAATATATATACGTAATGATAAACTATAGACTTTCGTTTTCCCTGTGTTTGTCTAATACATAAGAAAAGCTGTTAATATAGAAAACACAAATGATCTCTCTATTTCCTAAACGATAAGATATGATACTATTATTTCAAGATGATAAGAAAAACCCTCCTTAACAATAAAATCAGATTGACGTACTCTAGTTCAAGAATTAATTTTGTTAATGCTTCTTATTTTGACTCAACTTACACATTATCACTTATCGGAACCATACTGGAATTACATGATCAACTTAAACCAATTGAAAAAAATAAAAACTTATCTAATTAAAGAACAAATCTGATACACTGATCAAAAGAGAGTACTTGAAAAGAAACCAAAATCATAAATGAACTTAACATTATTATAAGTGGAGAGCTTAGTTGAGATTAAGCCTTGATTCTTTTCGTTAGTTAAAGACGAAATAGGATTTGTCTTGTACTAATGAATTAAATGTTTTTATAATAATGTATATGGTTCTTTATAGTTTCACGCTGAGATATGAACATCATATATGATACAAAACCTAATGGTCCAAACACTAGCGATTTCTCTGAGACAACTTTAAACCTTGAACAGAATTGAGCTTGTTACGTGTCAGTTTCTTATTACAGAAACTGAATTTATTATCACTGATACATTTATTGAGTCCAGTCTTAAATAGTATATGTAGAATGCCAAAAGTGGGAGAAACAAAAAAAGTGTGTAGAATGCCAAAAGTGTGTAGAAAGTGAGTAGAATGTTAATATGTGTACGTCGATAAACAAATAAGGTAATGTGTGTAGAATGCCAAAAGTGTTAAGAAAAAGTCCAAACAAACCGTTTGGCACATTGGCTACTCTGGGCTATACGACTACACAAAAGAATCTAAATGATATTGGAAAACTCTAATAGAGTTGCACTTAATATTGTTGTAACTTAATATCTCACAGGACCACATCTATCTCCGTCCGTAGAAATTCCAAAATTATATATAAAAAGACAAACTGTCATATACTTCCTACGTTCCTTATTAATGTATTTTCTAGGATTTTTACACAAATTAAAAAAAAAAATCTATTAAAAATTGATTATAAATGTATTATTTTGTATGATTTACAATTTTTTTATAACTCTAAACCAATTATTTTTCTTGAAGTTTACAATTCATCAACAATAACTAATAAAAAACTTGAAATATCTATCTTTTTGAAACAAAAGTTTTTCCTAGAAATTAGAATAATAAAGAACAAAGAGAGTATATAAATTAGAACTAGCGTTATACTATAGTGAATAATAATAGTTAACACGTTACTTAGTTCAAAAACTATGTTAGAGTTTGATTGTTTCTACATAAAAATCCCAAGATCCACTAGTAAGATGAGTCATGCCGCATTAGTGGTGAATTTGTTTCTATGTACGTAGGTGATCAATGATCGAAATTACCACCATTTTCACGACCACTATAAACGTCTCAGCCTCTTAGGTGATAGAAAAATTGAGCAAGTTTTTCGCTTTAAAAAAGTGAGTCCTCGGATTTAAATACATGCAAATTCCAGTAAAAACATTTCATCCCCATCATTTCTTATTTTGGGTTGTGTTGTCTATGAGTGTATCAACAATTAGGGCTCAACGCGGAGCTGGATTTTTTTCTTTTTCTTTTTGTATCCATGACATGTTATATGGTTTTTAAGATAAGTCTTTATGATTCATATTTGCTTAAATAGCTGGATATTTAGTGTATATCTATAAAAATTGGGTATTCCATTCAAATCTCCACGACTTACTGCGTGATTTTTCATTCCGTTAATTTGAGAGGGAAGCATGTATCCAAAGTTTTAAATTTGTACTTTACTTCTTTTTTTTTTTTTTTGTCGTCTAGATTTATTATTAATTGCAAATGATGAGAACTGTTACATAGACGATACTACAACTGACAATTCCTTCCGACCCTTACTAGATTCACGACAGACTATACTCCTTTCTTCATAATCTTGATGGATACCTTCAATGATCCACGACCTGTTCGAACCCCAGACCTCTTGGTGTAGAAGCATTAATCAACCCTTGGTCAACCAATGGGCCAAGGGTACTTTACTTCAATTTTGACAAATATAATATTTTAGTATTTCATTTATATCGTAATTTACAATTTTTTTTTTTTCAAATCGTATCAAAGATAATGGATTGAAGTGGATATAGATATTTTATCTAGTTGTATCAAGAACAAGTCTACTGGTCCAGTAGTCCTCATTACGATAGCTTGGGGACCGCTTTTTTATATCTCTCTCTTTACTCTTCGTCACAAGTTTTCTATATAGTTTTCTCTCCCTCACATCTACTTTTTCCATTGCATTCTCCAAACTCCAAATCATCAGTAGACTTGTTCTTGATACTCTCTTTACTTCTTTCAGTTTCCAATACCAATGGATAACACCAACCGTCCTCGTCGCCTTCGCAGTCCTAAGCAAACCAAGTTCACTCTACGTGACTCCGAAGGTTTCTCTTTAGTTTAATTAATATCTAATCGACATTGCTTTTGGCTTATACTCATCCATTTAACTTAGCTACCTTCTCCTTTTTAATTTCTTTGATATTTCATATTTGATTGAATATAACTAACTTAAATGCAGAGGTAAGTAGTGTGAAATGGGAGTTTACCAATATGACGGAACAAGAAGAAGATCTCATCTTTCGAATGCACAGACTTGTTGGTGATAGGTAACATCTTCTTCTTCTGTGTATAGATATCTCGTTCCATATAAAATTTTAAATTCTTGATGTATTGCTATCTTTATAATATGTGTGTCTCTGTGTGTGAGTTTAGGCATACCCTTACGTGAAGCAATGGTGTCCACAATAAATATGTTTTAAGGATATTTATTGTTTTACAACTTAAAATTTGTTTTATAATATATGACGTTTTAGGTTTTTAGTGCAGGTGTTTGGTAAAAATTATAATTTTATCTTTATTATTTAATATCTTAACCAATATTTTTATATAAAATATATTAATAAAGAGTAAAACAAAAAAAATAATTTTTTTTCTTTAATTTGTGTGAAAAAAACTTTAAGATATGTATACAGTCTTATACTACTAGTTAAAACAACACATGTTTTTTTTTTTTGTATCTCATGTACCAACCCTTTAATAGCATTACACTATATAACAACCTTTCAAAAAAAAACTAATACAATTTTTACCACATTATTATTTATATGATAATGGTCGATCTAACTGTGGATACCTCTTGTATATATATTAGGATATATTACTTCCAAATATGCCTGGCTAGCTCATAAACGTTGATATGATCTTTTAAGTATTAATGACACTCTTGATGTTTCATAATGAAATAGTTAACTAATAAGATGTTATTGGCCATGAATTGAATATATTAGGTGGGATTTAATAGCAGGAAGAGTGGTAGGACGAGAGGCAAAAGACATAGAGAGATACTGGATTATGAGAAACTGTGATCATTGTTCCCACAAACGACGCCGATTCCACAAACTTGCCCGTTTCTCTATTTCTCCTCCCTAATTGTCTCATTATAGACAAGAAAAGCTTTATGTTGTTGATGAGTAGAACAAAACATCGATCGATGTTTATTCTTCTCATCAATGGTTGTCCAAGTTATTGTCAATTCTACAAGTTGTGCCACTCATCTTGTTCCAGCTATACATTTTGTAACTCCGTCAAAATATTGATTGGAAAAAATAAAGAGTTAGAGTAAACGAAGATATTTTTAAGTTAGTAGATAGCATAAAAAAAGAAGAAGAATATTCCTACAGTAATTATTTATCGTGAAATTTAGCGTTTTACCATTCCGACAAGGATGAAGGACCACTCACACACACCTAACACTCAGATGTTATAATCATTCATCTTCTTTAGCTAGCTACCTCTATTATTTGTCTTTTTTTGCGTCTTTAATCTCTGGCCCTTCCTTTCCTCCACCTTCTTTAAATTCCGTCTGCAAATTCATTTGTGCTTAAGAGTTAATTTACGGTTAAGCAAGCAATAACGATGGACAATGTATTTACCAAAAGTGGACTTGAGGTTAGCTAATGCAGCCTCAAGACGTTTGTGGCAATCCGAAAATCTTCATGTTTGACTCACTCCCAACACATTTTCTTGATCACCACATGGACAGTTAGGACAACGATAATGAGCTCTGAGGTTTATGACCGTCTTAATCTATAGAAAGGTCCTTGGTAAAACTAAAAAAAAACTAAACTCTCTTAATAAAAAAAAAATAAAAAATTAGGCCCTTTATCTTCACTAAACTTTTTGAAAATGGCATTGGACCCATGGCAAATGCCTATGTTGCCATGGAGTAGAGACGGGCCTTTATCATAATCGGTATCTATAATATGTAATGTAACATATAGCTTAATGATACATAAATGGCTTAGAGCATCAGCAGTGGCAAAATCATGAGGATAGATGTTAATAATAGATTTATTATAAAATTTATTGAAGAGAGAGGAGGAGAATTGGCAGGCGGACAGAGAGAGAGGAGAGATATAGAGAGAGATTTCTTTTTCTAATTTTTCCATCCACTCAAATCTTGCCACGTGGGCTTTACACCCGATGCATACAACTTGCAACTTAACACCCGTTTCTCATTTCTACACACTCAATTCTAATATTTTAGGTTTTTTTATTACTCACACCCGGGCAAATGTGTTGCCACTGCGCATGGTCTTATGACAGTAAATTAAATGCTAACAGCAGGAGATAGAATATCACATACACTTAACTTTGATAAATTTCCCATAAACACATACGTATACCCAGATTCAATTAGTTTTAGAAAGAGAAAAAGAAAAGGTGATTTATATATTTCACAAAGAGTTGTCATTCTACCATTTTTCATACAAATTAAAAAAAAAAAATTATTTATATCATTTATTAATTAATAGACTAGATAATACATCTCTCTAATTAATAAATTATAAAAGTAGAAAAAGTGAATTAGTTTTAAAACTATATTAAAAATACAGAACGATATTCTTTATAAAACAAAATTAAAACATTAAAACAACACTCTTTGTGAAACGGAGAAAATATCTACTTTAATATTTGTAATTTGGGTATGTCACATTACACCCTAATAAGTTCTTTCTTAACGGCAAATTCTTTACACAAATCTCTACGGAATATGCTTTGGTCTTATATCTACAATCATGAAAGTAACCAATAATAATATCCTCGAACTTAAGGTTCAATTCAACAAAGACGTCTGTGATTCTTTGAATAGCCAGAGACTAAAAAGGAAGATGATCAGTGTCTGAATTTCTACTTCTTGTTCAGACTGAATGAGTCATATATGAAACATTCCCGATTTAGAAATAAAACCAAGCCGAATTTGACTTCTAAATCATTTGGATATTAAAAAAAAATTAAAGAGTCAAACGCATGGGAAAATGATATAAACATTCCATCAACAGTTAAAAATAGACAATCGAATGCTACAAAATCTTAATATAAAATTCTAGTCCAAAATATTAGGCATGCTGATGGTTCTATAGTATTTGTGCTAAATAATGCACGACTCCTTACTTGCATCATAAAAGAATGCATGAGTAACTTAAGGTTGTTTCCACCCACATGCTATCACCATAATTAACAAACCACTCTCAATCAATACAATCACATCACATAGTATCATGCTTAAGACATCTAAATTATTCATGCTCACATAATCATATACATTCAATTTGATGATGCACATGTTCCTTATGCATTATTGTTCGTAACCACACAGCTCTCAAGTCTCAACCATCCTTCTTGGTATAACTAGGTCATCATGACTCTCGAACATTTAGTACAAAATCATTCCACTATCTTAACCATCCGGCCCTCAAATGTCATGCCCGGCATCTCTCCATCTTCTTAGTCATCTTGACTCTCAAACTTATCTGAATTTCAAGAAAGTGAGAGCTCAAAGACTCATGATATAGGAGTTTTAGAACTTGCTCATCAAATTGGGCCATTAAGCCATCAACAAAAAAAAAGAGTTGGGCCATTAAGCCATGTTTCCCTTTTTAGGCCAATCAAATCCTGTAAACACTTAACGAAAATTCTTGTCCTCTCGCACTTAGAACCATCATTTGCATATTAATAACTTTCAAAACCTTAATAAAGATCGCGACATAAAATCTTTTTTTTTTATGTAGCCATATAGCATACATTAAATGTATGATTTTGTCTCGACATGCTCTTACCAAGTTTAGTTGAAGTGACTAGACAACAGCTGCAAGCTGCAAGGCGCAAGCATGTTTCAATGAAGTCGTTCTAGTCCATCAACTTTAATGTTTTGTCACGATTGATAAATTTATATCCATTATTATGATCACATAATGATAAATTAGAGGAATCTCATCTTTTTTTTTGAATTGGTCTAATACGTAGGACCGTTTTTCTCCTAACTTATTTCTTTAATATATATATGGAGGGTAAAATCATAAATGGTTCATTATTATTTCACGCTGAGAAAATGATATGCTCATCATATAATTAAGTACAGATTTCTCTAAGACAACTTTCAATCTGACAGGAAAAGAAATTGATACGTCCGTTTCTTACAGTTACTGCATTTATCATCACTGAGGCGATAATTGAGTAGATGCATAAATAAAATTATCTGTAGGGCATGCATATGTAAATTTCCAAAGAATCTAAAGAGAAAAAGGCACAAGAAAACAAAAGTTTTATTGGACTTTATAAGTACCATTACGACCCACAGATCTATATCACAGCACAAAAAATTGGGACTTTTGTCCAATTTTCATGAAGAAGAAATTTTGTGGAAAAAAAATCTCAGCTAATGTTATTGGAGAACTCTAAAATAAAATTGTAGTTAATGTTCATCCACATTCCAATCTCCGTCCGTAAAAATTTCCAAAATATAAAAAGGAAAACTGTGATATAAATTATAACTTGTAGGATTACGTGTTCACGATATTTATTGAGAAATGTAATTGCATGTGATGTTTTTCACTAGCCAAGAAGAATAAAACTAACACGTCATTTTAGTGACTTTGTTAAATTTCCTCTTAAATTTTGGATATTACAAAACCATTATCAAAAATAAAAACAAAAAATGGATGTTACCACCAAATAAACACACAATGGATAGTTAAAGTAAGCCATCGAATGACGTTCAAAGATTTCCTTTGTGAATTTAGGTCAAAAATCAAAATCTGACCAAAATTTATTGTGAGCATTATGAACTTTTTGAATAGTAACAAACAAATCGAACATATCTCAAAATTTTGTTTTGACTTATTCGATCGGGATATATATAAAAAGTGAGTGATAGAATATCAAGGAATATGTAGAAATTTTAATAAAAAATAAATCATTTCTCTCTCTCTCTCTCTCTCTCTCTCTCTCTCTCTCTCTCTCTCTCTCTCTCTCTCTCTCTCTCTCTCTCTCTCTCTCTCTCTTTCTATATAACTTTTGTTTCCCTCACATCTATTCTACCTTGCGAGCTCCAAACTCTACAAAATATTTCAGTTTCTCTCTATATTTACCTAATCTTCTTCTACTTTCCAGTTGTTATGGATAATACCAACCGTCTTCGTCGCGGTCGCAGTTTAAGGCAAACCAAGTTCACTAGATCGCGACATGACTCCGAAGGTCTCTCTTTAATTTTATTAGTCTCAAATCTTTTCTTAATTTTTTTTGGGGTCTACACTAGCTCATATATCCTCTTAACTTGTCAACGTTAAAGTATCTTCTCATGTAATTTTGGTTGAATAAAACTAAACCTAAATGCAGAAGTGAGTAGCATCGAATGGGAGTTTATCAGTATGACCGAACAAGAGGAAGATCTCATCTCTCGAATGTACAGACTTGTCGGTGATAGGTAACTCCCATTCCAAGAGGAAGTCTCTTCTTCTGTTTATATATTTATCTATTCCAAATATATAATATTCGTTTTTAGCCTAAATATGTCTGTAAAATTTGTGTTAGTTTGTGTTAAAGGGGAAAAACCCAAAACAAAATTGCTATATAAGGTTTGATTTTATGTTTGATAAAAGTTAAAAACTCACTACCCAATAATGCTTCATGAAACTTTTTGGTTCACCTTCTGATTCGGTTTTTGAATAAGCCTTTAGATGATTTTTGATGTAGTATGCATATATTAGTCATAACTTTATCATAAATTAGGTCCATTTAATAAGGTTGATAATGTGTTATTGTAGAGTAGTTTCGAACGTGTTTGACATATGATGCCATCGTAGTATCCAACATTTTCAATTTTTAGAAAAAGTTCACCATCTCTAAGCACAAATGGGAAACAATTACTTTTCATGAGTCTTTTACTTTATTTTACAAAAGCTTTTATGTTGTCGATAAACTAATAAAATGTAGAACAGAAACTTAAATTTCTTCTTTTCCTATAGTGTAAAAACAGTGAAACGGAATGAATAATATAGTGGCTTGAATATTGATTGTCAATTTGTCAGGTGGGATTTAATAGCAGGAAGAGTGGTCGGACGAAAGGCAAATGAGATTGAGAGATTTTGGATTATGAGAAACTCTGACTTTTTCTCCCACAAACGACGACGCTTTAACAATTCTCCCTTTTTTTCTTCTCCTCCTTAATTTCTTTTGTTATTGACAAGAAAAGCTAAAATTTGAAAGAAATCAAACTTTAAATCGTTATGTAGAACAAATCTTGAATGTTTTTATTATTCTCATCAAAGAGAAAATTGTTGAATCTCTTGGCAAACCAAGTGATTGTGTGCTGAGAATCCGATAAATATCAGATCACCTTTCCTAAAACCATGCTCTTAATCTTCACTTAGTTTATCATCATCATTGTAGTTCATAACCAAAATGTATAATGGTTGTCCAAGTTATATCAATTTTCAATCGTTTAGTTGCAGGTATAACACATTATAGCTGGTGTGGCATTTGAATGATAGAACAATCACCAAAATGTATTAAGAGTTAAAAGAACGCAATTTTTAGTGTATGCGATTCGACAGAAATGACAGAGACGAAGATTCTTACAATTGATTAACGAGACCATTTCCAGAATACAGAGCAAGCACTCACAGATGGCTAAATCAATAAATCAGGCATCTTCAGTGTGAAACTGCTTCTCCAAGCCCGCAACTGTCTTCTTTGCATCTTCAATCTCTGGACCTTCCTTCTCATCTGTCTCTTCCAATTCAGCCTGCAAATTCAGTTTTTGTTAGAGAGAACACAGAGTAAGAATTTCGCAGTTTCCTCTGTGTCCTTATTCATTGTTTTCTTCAGAGAGGGACTAAGAGTCTAAGATGCTTTCATTCGGGGGATTAATCCAATCGCTATAGATACATAAAGTTCTAGTTTGATAATGTACTGCTCTTAAACTTCAAATCACCGCTCTGCATTTCTTATAAACGAATACATAAAGCTAGACCAATGTTTAGCAAGCAATAAAAATGGAAAATGTAATTACCAAAGTGGACTTGAGTTCAGCTAATGCAGCCTCGAGTCGTTTGTGGCAATCCGGAATCATCATCCTAGACTCACCCAACACATTTTCCTGCATCACCACATAGACAAATTATGAAAAACCGAGTCTGAATCGGAATCTGAAACCCTGTAACCATTTTATTTTTACACGATACAAATGCAACACAACACAAACATCATCATAGGAGAATGAGCATTTCTAGATAAACTTATCTAAGGAACAAAGACGGATTCTGAATCTTTGAAATACCGAAAAGAAGAAGATCATATTTCAAAATTCGTACCTGTTGTTTAAGGTCGTAGGGATCAGCACCTTTGTCCTTCATATCAGCAGTCTTAGCAGCTTCTCTCTCAACTTCTTTCTCATAAGAGTGAAGCTCTTTCTCAATCCTTTTACAAGTTGATGTTTTTATCTTCAAGTTCCTAATCGTTGCCATTGATTCTGACAAAGTATAAACACCAAAATTAGGGTTTTCTAAATCCTACATCACCAGCGAATAACTCAAGACGCAACGATTCCATAACTAGGTTTTGCGATTTCCTTTAAACTAAATTTCGATTTCTTTAGACGATTAGATCTAGACTAATGTAGGTGACGATTCTACGAGTCGTGCATTGCAATAAATCGGGAACAATTTGGATTTTAGAGATCTCTTTCACTTGATTCCGATCTACTTTGAGATCGACACAAAGCTAGCTTCGACTGAAATAAATAACAAGTACTGCGACTAGAAGAAAAAGTAGGGTTTAGAGACGAACCAGACGAAGATCGGAGAAGAAGGTTGCTTTGCTTCCGATGAATTTGAGAGAGAGAGAACGCGGCGGAGAGCGAGGAATCGAAGAACAACAACAATATACACTTTCCGATTTCGATTTCTTTTTTTTTTTTCCTTTGCTTTCAATTTTGAATTTAAGAAAACAAAACAAAAACAAAAAAATTCTTATTTTATTGGTTATGCATTCACTCGTGTCGTGTGCTCGCATTACCGACATATAAAATGATGGCATAATTTGATTTTTATTTATTTATTTATCGTTTATAAAATTTAAATATATATTTTTTGTTAATTATGATTTATGTCAAGTTCATTCACTGATTCAGAATTGGATATCAAAAATAATAATTAATATTCGATATATATATTAATACCTTGATAAATTAATATATTTTTTCGGTTTCAAATTTGGTTTTTGTCTTTCCAAGGTATTTAGTATATCTCTTACTAATAAAAAGGATAGTTTGAAGCCTCTCAACCTATCCACATCAGCAAAATCAAAATCATTTTAGAGGAAGCCACGTCAGCCTCATGAAAACCCTATAAATATCAGCACAAAATTTTATTTCAAAACTAAGCCACATCAGAACATTGCTTCAATTGTAGCGGAAAGTGTATCGTTTTCTCCATGATGTTTCATCTTCCCCACATATTTTTTTCAATTTACTTCCTTCCGATCTCTTTTAAAAGCAGGACTAAATCGGTAGAGAGAAACCTGTGACTGTTCGGTGACCCTGCCAAAGTGTCTACTCTTAAGCTCCATGGTCGCCACCAGTCCATGGCAATACCTCAAATTCATCTTCATCGCTGCAGTAATCGAAGGAGATCGACGAAGGTTTCACGTTCTGAGTTGTTGGATCATGATATGCTTGCGACAGATGATGACGCCGTTAAGGTCTGCTTCTCTGTCTCTTATGTGTGTTCGCTCGATTTTATCTTGTACTTCGTTTGTATATTTCTGTTTGGTTTGGGGTTTTGATTTCATCTTATCAAGGGCTTGATGAGATGAAGAGGAGATTAAAAGAGATGGAGGAAGAAGATGCTACCCTGTGCGAGATGCAAGCAAAAGTCGAAAAGGAAATGGGAGTCGTTCAAGGTTAGTGGCTCTTTCGTTTCTTTGCTTCTGTGTTTTCAAGAAATTGAATACGTTATACGAAATTGAAGTTTTGTTGATTTTATGCTGTTGCGGAAAGCCTTCTTCACCGCTTAGATGTACTTTTTATTTGATGTCTGAACTCATTAAGAGATACGATAGCTCTTAGCAAGTTTAGTCATCTTCTTTTTGCTATTTTAAGGAATGTAAGAAGACTTTAGCCACTGCATTTTCTTTTTGTTTTGTTGTAGTTATATATCTTTCTCTTGACTCTCTTGGGTTTGATTTATTTTCATATTATTTTTGAATAATAATGATGATGGTGGTGATTTTGGCTTTGTTGCATAGGTGGGATTGAAGCGCTTATCATGATGGTGTTGAATTGTTGTCTCTTCACTCTGTTTCATTTCGGATCCTCATGATCTTCTCCATCAAGCTTCAGGTTTGTTCCCTCTCCGCTCAAGTTCTCTGTTTTCATTCTCTTCTTTACTCTCTTTTTTTTTTTTTTGATATTAGAGTTAAAGCAAGAGCATGTTTTAAAACTTTAGAGACAATTGAAAACTATAGATTCTTCTTGGCTTAGTTATATTTAAAGTACTCACCGTATTTTTCTTTGTGAGCTATTTTGCCGTCACTCTTGACAAAAAAATTTCACAACGTCCCTCTGTTTCTCTTTGATCATTTCCTTGACCAATTTCTCTCCTTTGCAAGCAACTAATTGTAGAAATTTGTGCATAGTCTCTGTCTTTTTGCTCCCTCTAGATGATTTTTTACTTAGCACACAAATGTATATTCTTTGGCTTCTTCCTTTCTTTAATCAGTTGATTCCTTTTTGTTTTTTTTTTTTTCACAATTGACTTTCTTTTTGTCATTTGTTTCAGATAATTGATTGTGTGGCCTATGTTGCTTGCTTCTTGCCCTTGATCATTGATTCCAACTTTCTCTTCTTGTCCAGGATTTAATAGATGGATACCTCTCATATGACATGATTAAATCATGTAGAGATGTTCAAGAGGATTCAGTCGATAACTCCATCGAAACATCGTATTGGTTTCAGCTCATAGAACTCAGCCTTTGGGATGGATATGTTCAAGAGGATACTCCACATTGGTCTGATCGACGATTTCTCGTACCAGTTTTCAATTCCTCGGACTTTCATCGTCCGGATAGGTGCTGGTCATCCATCAATGTAGAAGTAGATAGAATTGGTTTTCAAAAATGATTTTCGACTTTTCTTTTTTTGTCAAATAATTTGGTTTAATATTTATTAATTGGATTCTTAAATAATGATTATTTCATCAGGTTGAATATAATTTTCGGAATTAATATAATATTGAAACAATTTAATTAATTTTATTTTTTAAAATTCATTTAGTAAAAAATAGAAAACAATTTGTAGGAAATAGTTTTCTATCAATATAATCATAGAAAATTCAATTTTAGAACACTGGAAAATTGGTAGGAAATATTTTTCTTCCAATTTTGCTATGATATTGACAGTAAGGCATTGAGCGTTTCCTACGATATATGTAGAACTTATGTATAATATCCAGTGAAAAATGGAAGCTTGAATGCTATTCGGACGACTACTAAAACAATAGATGTACGTAGAACTTATGTATCACTAAATTTTTTTAATTATTTTCTTAAAATCTAAGTTACACATTTTACTGCAATTTTTTATAAAATCATATTTAGAGGACTACATAAGAAGTTAGAACAAAGAATGAAATGAAAAACAATAATAACGATTACTTGAAAATAAATGATAAGATTTTATGATATAGATGAGAAAATATTATATGGACTAATTATTAATTAAAAAAATTTAGAAAAATAAAATTTAAATTGTAAATATATATTACAAATAATAAATTTAAACATTGATAAAATTGAACAATTAATTGTACCACACCTGGTTTTTAAAGTGTAAAATACTACATCACATCACATGATCATTTTGTATATATTCAAAAAAAAGTAAAAAGTAATTTAAAACTAAATTAGTATAATTATCAAATGTATACCGGGCGTAGCCCGAATTTTCCCCTAGTATGTGTATAAACCTTAAACTATAACTAATATGAAACAAAAGGAGTAGTTTCTTACATTTAATTATATATATATATATATATATATATATATATATTTTAATTTACCTATTTTATTAGCTTAGAATTTTATACTATAATATTATATTTCCTATCGATGTTAAAAAAGTGAAAGAATTTCCTATAGAATTTTTGGAAAGGTTGACAAGCCTTCAACATTCATCATGGTCTCTGTCACTTTATTGTAGAAGGTTAGCCGCTTCCCGTAGAATCTTACAATGATGTCTCCAATTAACAACGTCTTGCAATAATTTTCTTCCCACTTTGAAGGCCTAAGCCCTGAGATTTCTGTCTTCCAGGCCTGACTTGTCAGATTCATTGAATACTTAAGGCAGATACCAACATAGAGTCTAAAAGAGTGAATCAAGGAATGAGAGTTCCAATATGTGTAGGGTGACTACTTGTCTTGTGTAAGAGTCTAAGTAGTAGAAGTCATCATTGGTGAAAGTAGTATAAGTGTGTTGTGTGAGGAATAAGGATCATCCAAGTTAATCAATGTAGAAGATTAAAGAGTAAATCGTTTCTTGTTTTTGTCTCTAGAACAAAGAAAAAAAACTAAAAACCAAACAAGAGATAGAGAGATTGTGAGAATTACAACACATGGTTTAGACAACGGTTTATGTTATGGTCAAAGTAAAATTGTCCTACGAGTTTTACTTTGGATCATCTCTTGAGCACAATTTGTACAAATATCAAATCCTTTATGTGGCTTTACTTCCAACATGCACCTTAAAGCTCCCAAATACATTGGGCGGGATGATTATCTTAACAAAATAATGTGGCTTAATAGTCATTAAAAGAATAAAATATGTGGCCTAAAAATCAAAAAAAAATTGGTGGCTTAGACAATTGCCTTTTTGCCAACACCATAAATACAACACTAATTATATCCCAGACAACTCGAACTCCTCTAGTATCGATAAAACAATAACGCGATAAATTAATAAAATATCATAATTTCAAGTTCTCAATTGTATTAATTTATAAAGGTTTTACTGTAAATTCAAGTTTTGGATAAACGGATTTATTAAAAACACTATGATACAATAATCTAGGTTATATAATTTGTTATAGAAATTTTTCTCATCATTCCTATTTGAAAAATGGTTGACAAATTAACTTAAAAAATAGTATACAACTACACAAACAACCATATATCGACATGAAACTATACACAATGTTTTGTTATTTTTCACAAGTTTTTAAAAAGGAATCCAAATTTGGAATGCAATTTCATATATAACTGTTATTTTAAAAATGATTCGTTTCGGTCATATTGAATTTAAAGCTAAATTTAAAAGTTGGTGTAGTTTTACGCGAACAAAATCGTTTGTGAAGCTAGGTGATCAAGATAGAAAAGAAGTTCGTGTGAATCATGTTTTGTTCGTAATAATTGGTGTAGTTTATGATTATGAAGTTCTCTCTCTGACACACTTCTTTAAAATTATGATATAGCACCTATTCCATTTGTAAACTTTATAATCCAAAACTGCAAGATCCATTAGGCCCATTGATTTGAATACTTCTTGGCTCGTAAACTAAGAAAATTCACTCAGAAACCATAGCATATCACATGTCTTTTGCTGAAACTTGATAAGCCAACAGAGGTAGGGGATGGAATTTTCAACAGTGGTCCTCTTCCTCTTCTTCTTCATTCTTCCTTCTTCTTCACAGAAAAAGGATTAAAACTCATATCTGTTTCTTTCTTCTTTAATCACATCTCAGTTTATGTGTCAGTGTGGTCCTCTCTCTACCTTCAACAATTATCCAATGCTCTTCATGCATCTATATACTCCGTACTTGTTGGATTTTCAAAATGTTCATGTCTCTTCACTGTTGTCTTTTTCTGGTTGCTCTTTTTACCGCCATTTTCAACTTTGTAATTTCAAAATATTCAAATGATAATGGCGCAAATCCATCCTCATATATCTAAGAAATAATCAAATCAATTGATGCATCTTTTGTGAGTAGTATTATATGTTCATAATCATAGAGATGACAAGAATATGCTTAGTGATCAATTCTGTCTTAATTAAACAGTGTTTTCACGCCCTTAGTGATCATGTTTGTATTAAAACGACAATATGATAACAACTTTTATTATTTTGCTTACATTTTACAAAAGAGAAATAAATAAGAAAAAAAAATACATAAAAAGTGGGATTCAAAGAGAATCACCACAATTCAATCTAACTTCTTATGAACATCAACAAGAAGTCAACAATTACAAATTTCACAAGACAAATATTGATACTAATTTGACCATTAGGTTAACTCTACTATTACATTAAGAGGTTTTCTTTTCTTTACTTGGTTTTTGTAAGTTGAAGCCAGATTTGTTCGAAAACATGGATGATAAGATCATGATACTCTTTTGGATTCAAAGAAAGGTAACAAGCAAGAAGATCCTCCAAGTCTTTTGAAGCTCTGATGTTGTTCTCTTCTATCATCTCAATCATTGATTCCCTGAAATCTTTCTTTGGATCCACGGACCGCTTCATCACAGCGAAGCTCTCAAGAACATCTTGTTTGCTCTCTGATCTTCTAGAAGTGCTTCTACGAGTACCTGAGAGTTGAATTCTAGGTGAATTTACTCTTTTGAGGTTTATCCCAGCAGATGATTTTCTTCCACTAGAAACTTGCCTTTGGTATTTCTTCTCTGCTCTATATTCACCATCGTCTTCTTCTTCTTTATCTCTGTTAATTCTCACAGAAAGATGGCTTTTCTGCGGTTTCTTGATCGGATTACTTGCAAGACAAGCTTTCTCTTTCGAATCAAACACTTTGACCTTGTGCTTGGTGAAAGCTTTGGTCTTTGTGTTGATCTTGAAGCTGGAAAAGTCAACGAACTCATCATCATCATCCTCTTCGTAGAAACTGTACACAAAAGACTCAGGGGAGGTTTCAAGAGCTGGGAACATGTTGTAAGACGAATCTTGACCGTTGATCTTGCTGATCTTGTTGAAACTTGCAGATACAAGAGGAGGAGGAGTCAAAGATTTAAGGGATGGCTTGTAAAGTGTCTTTCTTTTACTCATCCTTTTTGTGTGAAGAGAGTTTCTTGGTGAGTTATGGTGAGGATTGTTAGCTACTAAGCTGTTGGAGAAATAAGAGTGATGAGGAAGAGAATCTGAGGAAGGTTTCTTCTTGCTACAAGTGTTTGAGGAAGAAGAAGAAGGTTTGTTTTTGGGTTTAGAGTGTTTAGTCATGTCTTTGAGCTTGTGGAACCATGCATTTGGAAGCATTTCTGAAATTCTGAACTTGTAATTCCCCATCTCTCTTCACAAGATTATATGATGTTTCTCTTAAGAAACCTCTGTTTTTCTGTTTCCTTAGATAAAGAAGAAGGTGAGAAAGCAAAGTCTCTAGCTATGTGAGTCTGTGACAGATAAAGAAGAAACTATAGATTAAAATTCGAAACTAGTGGGGCTCATTACTAGATAAAGCTTAAAGAATGTCTTTTATTTGGTATCATTATCAACATTTACACGCTTGTGATCACATTAATTAAATGAAATTATTTTTGGTGGATTTTGGTTGATTGAAACATATTTGGTGAAAAAATGAAAATACAATAAGAACAAAATTTTTATCTACAATATTAAGGAGTAGTAGAATAGTACAAAAAACATAGAATCAGTTGATTCTGATTTCTGACAGATTTCTAACATCATTTCATGACGATTATACACTTCATCGAATGATAAAATAAATGAAAAAGGTATTTATCGAATTATAAAGAGTAGCAAAATGTAAACAGTTTTAAAGAATCCACAAAAGAGGTTGACCAAATGGCAATTACAAAAGAAAAATGCAGCTTTTTTCTTCTTCTGAATAAGCTTTTTCAATGAAAATATTAAAACGTTCCACAACATTTGCAGCCATTAATTAGTCCTAAACGGACAAATCAAAATTATTAATAAAAACAAATACCTACAAAATTCAACGAAAACTTTTTACATATACGAATCTATCTTGGTTAAAGTACACGTTAAAATCAAGTTCAATAGTTTCATTTCGATGCTTCTTTGAATTTGCTACGTTTTTAGGTAGAAATACTTTAGTATTTGTCCCACTTTATATAATTATACTAAGGTGATACAGATATACAAATGATGAGATTAGGATAATCAAATATGATCCATTTGAACACCTTTGAATAAAGTGGGATCAACTTTTGAGTCACAATGATGAATGTGAGAAAATTTCGGTCTACTATGTCCACTAACGCCGAACATTTTGAGGATACTCTTTTTTTCAATACATTTCCTCTTTCCAGATCAATTGTTTTGGCAACTATCTTTTAATAAGACTAGACGAATTCCCACGCTACGCGTGGGTTTGTTTCGAAGATTGTTAAGATAAAAATATGTTAATTGTTTTTATCGCTAATTTTTTTGTTTGTTTGTTATTGTATACTTTATAAAATTAGACTCATCTTATGTACTTACAATTTTTATTGTTAGATTCGTTTTTGACTCTAAATATCAATTTATACATTTTTATGTATAATCTGATTATTTTTATATCTAACATTCTAGTATTTGTTCATTATTATGAATACACACGACAAGAATATAAGATATTTTGATCTCAAGAGTTTTCGTATGAAAAGAAGAAAAAAGAAAGCAAAAATTAAAGAGTGATTTAAGTAACACTTTTAGATTTTATGCTATTGCATATAGCCATATAAGATAAATAGATTTGTCTTGAATTTTATGGTATGTCTAACGTCTCAAAACTCTATTACTTGAAAATTTTTGCATATCAATGTTACGAACTTACCATAAGATACAAAAATGAAAAGAGAGAATGTCATATGATAAGATATGAACCATAACGTAATAATAAAAAAATATTCAAGGTAAAATTACTAACCTAATAAGATATTAGGTAGCAAATAACTAAATTACAACACAAATAATTGTTTTGTCATTATCGAGTGGAGACCATTGACCATTAAATTAAAAAAAAAAAATAGAAAAATAATAAAAGTAAAATGAAAGTAGTAATTGATTTATTAAAATAATTTTATAATTTTATTTTTATTTTGGAAAAATCATTTAAGAAATGGATTAATTGAGGATTTAATATAATAGGAGACTTTTGATTTTCTCTCAATTGATTTTGCTGATTTTTAATTTAAATAATGTTAAATGACACATGTCATTTTCTTGTGTGATGATGTGTCACTCATATGGAGAGAGTTGGCCAACTTTTATATATATGATTTAAAGCATGACTTCATACGGTTAATTCATATTTAAAAGTTGAGATATTTTCACTAGACGTGGGACTGGTTTATGTTCAACATATGCTGTTGCGTTGACCCACCAATCAATCAACGACTTTTTGAATATTCATATACAAAATCAAAACCAGTTTCATCATATTGGATTTTGTTTATAAGCAAGAGTCACCAAACACTTGTGCAATAAAAACTATTATTTCTCCACCGTTTTTAAAAACTTCATGGGACTCCACCATGATGATTATATTTTCACATCCAAAGACGTGAACTCCACGCAACACAAGCCAATCCTCTAACCTTATACACACCAAAACAAAACAAAAAAGCCAAAGAGGATCACAACAACAACATCATCATCAAAAAGGTTCAAGACAATGAGAGTGAAAGCAACTTTGATTAACTTCAAATCAAAGCTTTCCAAATCATGCAACAGATTTGTCTCTCTCTTCCGCTTCCGAGTTAAAAGACCTGTCTTTATTAGACCTCTTCGTGCCCGTCATGGCAATGTCAAACCTAGACATCAACATCATCATCTCAAGAAGCCAATCTGTTCTTGTCTCTGTTTTCTCAGCACAAGCAAGAACCACAAGATGAGAAACACTAAACCTAGAACTTCCTCTTGTAAGACAATTTTTATACACATCTATTGCAAGTTTAACATTGAATTTATCAGCTTCTTGATCTCTCTGTTCTCTTATTGTGCCATTGCAGTTAGTGTGAACGATGATGATTATTCCAAGTTTATGCACTCACCTCTCACGCCAGCAACAGCCAAGAAGCTATTCACTTCACCCATCACGACGCCTTACTCTACACGGACCAGAAAATCGCTGAACTCAAGAGAAGCATTCGAAGACAATGCGGTGGAAGATGCTTGCAGGAGTTTTGAAAACTATCTGATTCATCTGATTGTTGAAGAAGGGAAAATAGATGACTTAATGGACATAGAGGAGCTTCTCTTCTGTTGGAAGAATCTTAAGAGTCCTGTCTTCATTGAACTTGTCTCCAGATTCTATGGAGAACTCTGCAGAGACCTGTTTTCAGGTGAATGAAAAGATGATAAATGATCAGAACAATAAAAGTTTTATCTGTATTTGTCAACCAAAACAAAAACTGTTTGTGGTTTGGCAATTATTGAATACACCATCTTAAGGTTTCTAAGTTTATTAGTTTAAAGTTGGAAATTGAAATGTGTGAAAACTACAAAAGAATATTGTATGTTTTCGCGTTTCAAATATCGAAGAAACTTGGTTTTTTTTTTTTTGGTGTCAATGTTAAGTATTTATACCATTTTCAAAAATTTTGACAGAAAATACAAAGATATAGTAAGAGCGGAAAGACCGAAAAGCCAAGAAAAGAATTGACAATCTATAAACAAAACGACAACTAAGAAACCATAAGTGAAACCCAATTAGTAGAATCCCGAGAAGAAACAATGATTCCGAACCGCGAAACTCAGACATTCGTGTGATTACCTAAGCTCCTTGGATTTATCAACTATAGACCAAAACTTGAATGTGAAACAAAGATACAAAGCAAGTGATCATGGAGAAATCTTATATATTGTCCGGTTATTGCCTCCTAAAAAAATCTCTGTTTCGTTAAATATTTTAAACCGGACCGGACAGCGGATAAGCAATTTAATCATGGGTCAATCCCGGTCTAACCGGTTCAACCGGATTCACTTACCGAACTCGTCTCTTGCAATTTTCTTGAATAAATAAAAAAATTATCACAACTGTGTGGACACGTGTGGTTGTCCGTCCTCACTCCTCAAGCCCCTTTCATTTTATCCCAACTGTGTCTTGTCTGATTAAATGAAAAAATAAAAAATTCGAAGAAATATAAATCAGATTTTTGTTGTGAGCTCCTCCAAATCCAATCGTTGCTTTAAGGTTTCTTCAAGTTTCAATTTTTGGCAATGAATTGCCCAGCCATGACTGCTTCTCCTTCTTCTTGCTCTTCTTCTTCCTGTTCCTCCTACTCTACCTTTCGTCCTCCGTAAGTTTCGGATGTTTATATCTCTGTTAGCTTCACATTGCAAACTGATTAGTTCTCTCTTTGTTGTTATATGCAGACTCTTGCCACAATTGAGTAACGATTCACAGAGATCTATTGTACACTGCTCAAGATTACCCTTTGAAGCATTTGCTACTACTTCATCAAACCGGCTTCTTGGGAAACATTCATTGCCTTTGAGAGCAGCTTTGGTTACTTCGAACCCTTTAAACATTTCATCTTCCTCTGTTATCAGTGATGCTATCTCATCTGCCTCTGTTATCACTGATGATGCCAAAATTGGTGTCTTGTTATTGAATCTTGGAGGTCCTGAGACTTTAGATGATGTTCAACCTTTCTTGTTTAACCTCTTCGCCGACCCGGTAATATATATCTCTCTGCTTCCTTGAAATGCTTGATTAAATGTTTTGATTGTGTAAAGATACAATCTTTTACATGTTTCATAGGACTTATGCTTGTTGTTGAATCGTTTGTTAGGACATTATACGGTTGCCACCGTTCTTTCAGTTTCTTCAGAAGCCATTAGCACAGTTTATATCAGTAGCAAGGGCTCCCAAAAGCAAGGAAGGATATGCATCTATTGGTGGAGGTTCTCCTCTTCGCCACATTACCGATGCACAGGTTAGTTCTCATATGCCAATATGATCTTAATTACTCTGCTTTTCTTATTCTCTGTCATTTTAGAAGCTTTTTCTCTGTTTTGTCCAAGTTTCAACTTTCAAGTACTGAAATCAAAACGGGTTAGAAATAGCTTGACTATTCTAGGCTTACATTTGTCAATCATGCTTGCATCCAACTGAAATGGCTAGTTAGTATACCAAAATGTTTCAGTTTCCTTTCCATTTGTAAATATCCTGTGCTTGTGTGAGACACCTTAACTTGAGAGTAGTGAGTTATTGAGATGATGCAAAATTTATGGACTGGAGATTGCGGTAAGACTTAAGTATGTATATAACTCCTCACGTATATAGTTTCTTCTATCTTTGTTCTTGGTTTTTAGTAATTTAGCTTGCTCATCATTCTATTAACTACTGCCATAGTTTCCTCTACGCTCTTATGATGTACCTGTTATATCTTCACCAGGCTGAAGAATTAAGAAAGTCCCTTTGGGAGAAAAATGTCCCAGCAAAGGTATATGTTGGTATGCGGTATTGGCATCCGTTCACTGAGGAAGCCATTGAACAGGTATGTCAAATATGGTCCTCGGTATCTTGATTTTAAGGCTCAATCCTCTCAAACACAAATGTTATCTTTTCATATTTGCATGTTCAATGGATCACAACATTTATTTTTCTCAAACATCATTTGCAAAATATAGATATTTCCTTTCAAGCTGAACTATTGTGTGAATTATGTGTGAACACCTTGAATTTTCACCTTGTGAGTCTTACTCATTTTCTTTATATATCTTGTTTCAGATAAAAAGAGATGGAATTACAAAACTAGTTGTTCTACCACTTTATCCTCAATTTTCGATATCGACTAGTGGTTCAAGCCTAAGACTCTTGGAGAGAATATTTAGGTGAGACTTGCACATCTTTCTTTTTTAGTATACCAAGACCATATCTTATTTAATTAACTTTATCTGCTGGACTCACTATTTACACAGAGAGGACGAGTATCTTGTGAACATGCAGCATACTGTTATACCATCGTGGTATCAGCGGGAGGGATATATAAAGGCAATGGCAAATCTAATCCAAAGCGAGTTGGAAAAATTTGGTTCCCCTAGTCAGGTAGACAATCTTGTGTCTGCTCACTCGATTATATATGAAACTATTCTCTAGTGGAATCTTTTGTAGTTTTCTGGCTTTGCCAATTCAAGTATCCTAAGACGTGCTTCAAACCAAAATATATGTTACAGGTTGTAATATTTTTCAGTGCACATGGCGTGCCTCTTGCATATGTTGAAGAAGCCGGTGATCCTTACAAGGCAGAGATGGAAGAATGTGTTGATCTGATCATGGAGGAATTAGACAAGAGAAAGATAACTAATGCTTACACTCTTGCTTATCAGGTATTTTCCATTTTTGTCGAATTAGCTGGTTGTCGAAATTTCACTCATTCTGTTGTTTTATTATGTTTCTGCAACACTCCAACAGAGCAGAGTTGGACCAGTGGAATGGCTGAAACCATACACTGAAGAAGCCATTACTGAACTTGGTAAAAAAGGTGTTGAAAATCTTCTGGCTGTACCCATAAGGTAAATATTCTGTCTCTTTTTACTTTTTGTTCTGCTTATTTGAAACTCAAGTTTGTTCCTGTTTTAACAGCTTTGTGAGCGAGCACATTGAAACTCTGGAGGAGATAGATGTTGAGTATAAAGAGTTGGCTTTGAAGTCTGGTATCAAAAACTGGGGGAGAGTACCTGCGCTAGGAACAGAACCCATGTTTATATCTGACTTGGCAGATGCTGTTGTGGAAAGTCTTCCATATGTTGGAGCTATGGCAGTCTCAAACCTTGAAGCTCGACAGGTAACAACACTCTTCATCTTTTATCTACTTATAGCTCCACAAAAGAATCTGTTATCTTCACTTCTATGGTTCATTTGTCCACAATTAAGTATACCGAGCTTCTGACTAGCGGGGTGGTTTATTCTTTTCTTTTTGTTGGGCAGTCGTTAGTTCCGCTCGGGAGTGTAGAAGAACTATTAGCAACGTATGATTCACAGAGGAGGGAGTTACCAGCGCCGGTGACAATGTGGGAATGGGGATGGACAAAAAGTGCAGAAACATGGAACGGAAGAGCAGCAATGTTAGCGGTGCTAGCGCTCTTGGTGCTTGAAGTCACCACGGGAAAAGGGTTTCTGCATCAGTGGGGCATCTTGCCTTCGTAATAATAAATAACATATAGTCTTTTTTTCTCTATCACAAACCCAATCCAAGAATCCAAATGTGAGCTTTTACATGTGGAATAAGGCCAGCTATGTTATTATACTCTCTTCTTCTTTGTTGTAGAATGTTGACATTTAAATACTTCATACTGTATCTTCATATAACATTAAATTGATGTGATGAGAAGAGGGAGAAATAACGAAATCCAACATGGAGCATACTAAACTCGTCTAGAAGAATGGAGAAAGATCCATCACAAGTAGTTGGAACTAAACTAGCACTGTCACCTATCTCGACGCCTCCTTATGCAGCACGTGCTAAGAACTCGCTGAGCTCGAGAGATGCATTCGAAGATAATGTTGTAGAAGTTGCTTGCAGAAGCTTTGAAATCTGTCTGATTCGTTTGATTGTTGAAGAAGGGAAAATGGATGACTAAATGGACATAGAGGAGCTTCTATTCTGTTGGTTGAATTTTAAAAGCCTTATCTTCACTGAACTTGTCTACAGATTTTATGGAGAGCTCATGTGTGAAGATTATAAAGAGTGTATGTTTTCGCGTTTCACATAACGAAGAAACTTGGATTTATTAAGTATGGACCAAAACTTGAATCTGAACAATGATACAAACCAAATGATTCTTGGACAAAGAATTTATTTTACTTACCTACAAAACTTTCAAAAAAGCAGAGAGCTCTTTACCTACAACTATTGAAATAATCGAATCTGCAGAGTTGTTTTTTACTCTTTTGTTTTAGAAAGATAAATTTGAGATTTAAACACTGAATCCCCAATCTTAAACCCCGGCATTGTGATGAACTCGACGCTTAAATCGCCTTGTCCTTCTTTTTCATCACTCACTACAGATTCCATGTAGACACCTGAGAATCTTGTTCCTCTTCTGACCACAAAGATCTTTGCTTTAAGATCTAAAGAAGCTGCAAATGATCCAAGAATCCATACCCACTTTGCCATTTTTGCAAAGATTTGATAAAACATCGTTCTTGGATGCTTACCGAGTAAAACTAGTCCCCTCATATCCATATTCCCGAAGAATGAAGCCTCCATCGACGGATGAACAACTAAAAGATACTTCTGACCGCAGAATCTTGAAAACGCGGAATTTGGAAACGCTATTAACGCGTCCAATGGATCATCGAAGCTCATTAGTTCGGTCACATCAAACGGATTAAGCTTAATGCCTTGAAACATTCTCCGAACAATGTATGACTCAAAAGCATACTTCTTATCTGAGGTCTTAGCAAATGTTACATTTCCAACTATAGATTCCACTGCCTTGTCCAAATTCCAACCTGTAGCTTTCATCAGAGTGATCAATGGCTTGGAAAAGTCGTGAACCGCCTTAGAAGCAGCTCGAAAAGCGAATTCAAACGAAGAAACACTCACAATCCTCTCTTCGAGTTTCCTACTCTCTGCAACCAAACAATCTAATCTTTCCTTCAAAGAGTGTATCTCACATTCCTTTGCTCTCACTTGTGCCTTAAGTTTCTCCAATTCCTTCTCATTCACTTCAATCTCATCTCTCAATCCATTCAAACAAGAAGCAGCAAACTCGGTCTTCTTCGCGTTGAGCTGTTTTGTTTTGAGATAGAGACGCTTGATTCTGCGTAAAGCCTCGAGCTGAGACACGACGAGGTTGTCTGCTTCAATGATCTTATCTGGATCATAAGGTAAATGAGCTTGTTGAAACTCAACATACGCTAGTTTAAGCGATGAAACAATGTCGAAAAGCTTCAATATCTCATCATCATCCCAACGAAAAGTTCGAAACTTTGTAAAGGGTTTGTGATTAAAATCACAAACTTCAGTTTCCTTAGCTTTATCATCCACCAAGATTTCTACTTCACAAAGGTCGTTGGAATTCAACTTTTGGTCAGGGAACACACCAATGGATCTAAATTTGCAGACTTTAGCGAATTTGGAGATGATTTCTGATATATTCGAAGATGGAGTCGATGTTTTAGCAACGGCATTCTCCATTGATTGAAGAAAAAACCCTAATCCAAAAGTACAATCTTGTTAAAGAAAACAGCAAAAAGATTGACAATTTTCAAAAGAGTCAAATCAGGCAAGACAAATACAGTTCCAAATCTTCAATCTTTTGTAATTAAAGCCATAACACGAAACCATTCAACAAAGCATTCATTGGTTTTACAAATCAAACTGGCCAAAACGTGAAAGCTAAAGAAGAACAGAGCATAAAGATTCAAGTGATGAACAACAAGAAGAAGAACAGAACAAACGAAAGACAAAACAAAATCTCACCTGTTTGTTGTTTTTGTACACTAGTAGCAGCCAAAGCAAAAAAACTAAGCACGAGGAAGTGCCAAAGTTCGAGCCTTTGTGGTTCTCTCACTCACAGAAAATGCTTGTTGCTTAGCATTGGAATGAGGTTCGTTTATATTCTTCTTTTTACGATTTTGCTCCTAATTAACAAGACAAAATAAATAGCCTCGTTAATGGTGAGATGATTCTCGGATTCCTAAACAATAAATCGACTATAATTGGCGTTTAGTTCTCTTTTTTTGGTTTTTTTATTTCTTTCTTTTTCCGAGAATCGAAAACTTTGATCTTCACCAGTTTTCAAAAATAGTAGTTTTTAAATTGTAGTTTTGAATAAATCCTGAGAATCCAAGAGAAAAACCCTCAGGAATCTCCTCAGACACCGTCGCGGAGAAACAAAAACCTTTGTCTCCCTCTGTTTCTTTCTTGGAGTCTGTCTTAATAATAATTAAAAAAAAAACATTTTTGTTTGTTAATCATAATTTTATTAGTGTAACAGTGAATCTATTACACTCACTTCTTGTTTGTTGCTTTCTTCAAATGTTCAAACTTTTAAGAAAAAGTAGTGAAAGCTGCTGATTCGCACGCGAGTTTGTTTGTAATCTCCTCTCTGTCCTTATTCGTCTCGGTCCCAAGACAAAATGTTTGAGACATATAACTACTTACTGGGCCTTATTTAAGGCCTAGTTGGCCCATAAGGCCATAACAGCTATTTTTCTTTGATCGTGCTGATTTTGAGAGATGTAATGATAAAAAGATGAGGCACTCTTGAGGGAGCAACATATATCCTTGTCAAGGAAACCGAAGGTTCCTACTTTGTTTTGATTTCACTTGCCAATTACAAAGTTTTTGTGTAATCCCTATTCAAATGGAAACTTAAACTAACAACTTAAAAGTGGAGATTGCGATCAGTTCTACTTCTACGTGCCTAGGATTACTACATCTTGTAATTACAGTAAAACCTCTATAAATTAATAACGGCGGGACTGAGAAATTCTATTAATTTATAGAAATATTAATTTATAGAGAAATTTTCTCAATTTTGTAATTTTTTGTGAGATTGATACGTAAACATATAAATTCATTCATAGTTTATAAGTTATAATGTATATTAATTACAAGCAAAATATTTTTAAGGCGAGTTTTATCAAAACTATATGATTTACCAATAATGAGCTCAAGTGAAGGAAGAGGAACATTTGTAAATGCCACAAGACTAGACATATTTGTTCTTCAACTATATATATATATATATATTGATAATAAGTGAAGGAGAAGAAAAAAAAAAGAGAGAAAGTGGTCCAAATTCTGAAAACACATAAGGCATGAATTCAAAACGCTCGTGCATCTCTTGTCTCTTTCTATTTCTTCTCTCTTTTCAACTTTTGGCGTCCTTACATTTGCATACTTGCCATCTCCTCTTCTTCTCTCTCCCTCTATCACTTTCCTCTTCCTCGGACTTGTTTTATCAGTATGACAAAAGATCTACCCTCTAGATATCATAAGCATGATGAGATCTATTCTAGATATCATATGAGATACGAAGAAGGCTATCTTCTATCAGTTAAGACACATAGTTTATGTTGTTGATGATGAAACTATATTGAAATCTAACAAAATAAATTATTATAGTGTAGAAAAGATCATAATTAATTTTTTGGACAATTTTTTAATATTGGTTGACTATTGTGTTATTAAAATCAAGAAAACCTTTTAACAAAAATAATTTGACAAATTAAAATTCGATAGTTTATATGGCATAAAAAACTATCGAAATAATTAAAATTCGATAGTTTATAAATTAAAATTTGATAAATATAATTATATTTGTATATCATGCTAACTAATTAAATAGCGAAATTACAACTATAAAGTTTCACAAGGAAAGTTTCTTGTCAAAATTACATATCCATTTTATAAGTTTTTTTTCAAAAAAAATCGTTTGCTGGAATCAGCTCAATTTAAAGACATGTTCAAAATTGAAGTTGAAACTATATATCTTGTGAGCTTGGAAGAAATTATACTATTAATTAAAGAGATTACATTAACTCGTTGGATCCATCACCATTCGGCCCACAAATAGACTACCAATGCCCTATCCGCCTCTACCGGCCATCTATTTTCTTTTATTAATAATTGTTTTAAAATCTGTCTCAAGTCAGTGACAAATTTCTAAAATTCGTAGGGATTTCAATGTTAGCGAGGAAGTTTGAAGTAGAAAATTTCATCTTTTTTCTAGCATTCTAAATAATAATAAAATTTGGACTAAAAAATAATCGATTTAACAAAATAATACACTACTATTATGGGACTCTTAAAAGAAGAGGATATTAAGAAAGTAATCTATTTTTATTTTTATTTTGGGGCAGAAAAAAGAGAATAGTCTATATTTTCTAAAATTAACGAAGTAGTCAAATTTAAACGCTAAATTTTCTATTTATAAACTCTAACCTAAAACTAAACCTTAAACCCTTGATCACTTTAAACTCTAAAAAATTCTAAACCCTAACCCTAAAATTTAAGTTCTAATCCTAAAAACTAAACTCTAAATCTCAAGTGTTATTCCTAAATTTTCAAAGAACTACTCTTTTTAAAGATTATTTAAGTGACACCTTATTATTAAATAAATTTTTTTTTTATTATTATTAAATAAGTTTGATTGTTTTTATGAGAAAAAATAAGTTGTAAAGTTATGCCTCTTACAAAAGAAAATGCATGTGATTTGCGGAATGCGTTATTTTTTTCTTCTTCTCATTGTTTTTACACTATGCTTTTAGAAACATATTTTTGAAAGGGTGATTGCGTGATTATTCAGATCCTAGACTGATATGTATTTTCTCTTTATTTTATTGGCCTAAGAAAAAATAGTGTTTTTCTTTCTGCATGATTCTTGACATCTTTGAATCAGTACATAATAGATAGGAAACAATGCAAGTCCCATCTGTCTCAGTCAAGAAACAAAATGAAATTTCAAATAACAATAACATGATAAAATGTAAAAAGGATACAGTGTGTCAGATCTTTGTATTAAACCTTATTATAAAATAATTGAGAAGTGGTGTGTCAGGGATAGAGATACTTACCTTGGCATGTGACCCGGCCCTCCCAATATTTTCCTATGCATGAAGATTTCTGTATTCTCTCCTAGTCGACTAGTTAAGAAAATTCAACCATAATAGTTATAAGAATATGATCAACAATTTTATGTGACCATTCTACATATAATTTCAGCTCATGTGTTGTTATACCTGTGTTAGCAGAACGGGTGACCTAATTTTCGACCAATTCTTTTCTGCTTTCATCTCTAAGGTTTCGAATCAAATAAAATTGTATTTTAAATAAGTTACATGAAATCATACCATCCTAAATTGGGACATTATTATTCTTAAAACGTCATAATATTTGTGAAGAAGACGGTACCGGAACAAAAATGAGAATATGCAAAATATCAATCCATAATTCATGTATAAACTTTTATAGTTTTAAAAGAAAGTACTTTATAAATAGTTCATATATAGTTCTTACCTTTAAAATTTTCTTTTCTCCACAAAGATTTTTGTTTCAATATAACTAACATATATCCATATTATAACTGTAATATCACATGAATACAACTATGATTTAGTACCTCTAGTACAACCCACTAGAATACATATGCATAAATCAAAAATGTTAAGAGAAAAAAAACTTTTTAAACTATTAATATCTCAAATTTAAACAAAACTATATTACACAAAAAAAATCCCTAGATTTGTTCTTCTCTATTTTCTAGACGTTTTCTATCTTTATATATAGAATTATGTTAGGGAGATACTATTGTGATAAAGGATTTAAAAAGTATAAGATAATGTAGATATAGTAGTCGATGGAGGTTTACCCACTTCCTCTTGTTGAATCAGGTTATCTCATGTTGAGATAGCATCGATTAATGTTTGTGTATAAATAGTTGGACCTTACACGATTAATAACAAACAATGATCTACCAAAGACTATTCTTTCACGTGGTATCAGAGAAAATCTTTTTAAATTTGAGTGTTCTATTTCTCGTTCGAACGTGTGTTTAATTTGAAGAAACGGTTTCTTGAAGAGTCTTCATCAGCGACGCTTCATGTTGGTGGAGAAAAGAATGACGATGTTATCCAAAAGAATGACCCCTTCACAAAGACTATCATGGTACAATATAGTAATTTTTTGTTATATAGATTATAAAGTGATGGTAATTTTTAAAGTGATCAATAAAAAATGGTATTTTATGAAACTTCGAGGCTATAAGGCTATATTGTATGTCCTAACGACAATTGTATAGTTGTAATCAGACGCATTCTACCAACAATAATACTACCAATTCAACATAGAAAACAAAATTTTACCAAGTAGAGATCATACGGTTCTTTCCAAAAATAAAGTATTTGGTATTACGATTATATTGTTGTATATTCTTCAGCGCATAAAATGGTGTTGTCAAACGTAACAAGAAATTAAGTTAGAAGCATTGATATTTTTCCAAACAGTTTGTTGTCTCGCTGATGCTTGGTGCCAATATTCATCATTAAATATTTTTGTGGTCACATTTTCAAAGATCTAAACAGATTTGTTTTATAGCAATTTTACTATAATCCCATTGTTAAAAGTTTATACTGCAATTTGTTTGCCATTTTATATTTTAATAGTACCGTTTCAACTGCTTATTGGTTTTTTCCATTTATACCATTAAGATTCTTTAGTATATAACCTTTGTGTGAATTGATATCATGAGTAAAAAGTTTTTGTTAAAACTACAGATATAAATGTATAATTTAGGAATGAACATGGAACCCTTCTTACACATTTGTTGGGATGTTTTGTCCATACCTCCTTGCCTTTGGAATCTCACTCATCTTACATCCTACGGCCTTCCCTTATTCCTCTCTCTTCAAATCAATCACCTCTCATCTCTCTACCTTAATTATGATTAAAAAAAAAAGTTTCTACCAAGCAGTCATTTTTTCCCAACAATAATAAACTAAATGAAACCCTAATTCTTGAGTACTTATGTTAAACCCTAATTAGAAAGAAACAAAATCGAGATTATACTAATTAATCACGTGAAATCATATCTTATTAATGTGATGTGGCACACACCACAAATGTGTATATAGTATATACTACATACATGCATATGAAAGAAAATTAAGAAACATAGAAAACACATAAGAATAAAATAGTGTATATATATGTATAGCTTGGAAGATTGCTAAATGCAATTTCTGGAGAAAGGAAGGGTACATGGACAGAGAGAATAGGGTGCAGGAGAATCTAACTCCCAAACTTAGCAATGCTTAGGTACCTTTCTTAATTACTTCTCTCTTCTTACACTCTTTCTCTCATTTCCCACTCATATACTATTTTATCTTCTTTTTTCTTTTCTTATTATCCTATTATATAAAAAAATTCCCAAATTTAATCACACATTTTTGCAGTTAACCCCTCCTTGTTCTCTCATAGTCGACTCCAATTGTTCTTTCTCACTCTCAACCACTCACACTACTCACTCTCGTTTTTTGAGAAAACCCAATTCATAAAAAAACCAAAATACATATAAAATTCCTTTTGAATAAGCTTCTCTTGATTACCATTTTCATCTCCGGTTTTTATAAACCCACCAGGCTTTTTTTTTTTGCATGGAAGAGGAGCGAGTTCATAACTAATCTCTGCTACCTTCTTCTTAGGTGGGGTTTTCAGAAAGTTTCGTAATCATGGGTTTCGAGAGACCATCATCATCGTCATCATTATTGTCATCATCATTACCATCATCATTACCAACATCAGAAAACACGAGAGACAAGTTCAGTCTCTTCTATATATTACTACTCTTCTTCGTCCTCTGTGTCATTACCACCTTCATAATAACTCCCACTTCGCTTTCTTCTCCATGTAAGTCCTCTTTCTTTCTTTCCTTGTCATTCTCCAACAAAAATATCTTTGAATATTTGATTCGTACGGATCATATAATCATTACAGTACCATTTACATTATACTGTTGTAAAATGCAGATATTAGGAATATTATCTCTGGGAAACTAGGGAACTTCTATCCACAGGTTCGTAAGCTTTTTAGCTCTTACTTTTTTTTTGAGTGATCCAATATTTTTTTTATAAGAAAATACAGATTTATTTTTTTTGGCTTGAGTCAAAAATTTATTTAGGAAAAAGGGAATCAAAAACCGTGTTATACTTATATCTAATAACTATAACCACATAAAATCCAAAAAGCTCCCTAAATTCTATTTTCTCCTGATTCAAGTATCTTTGGAAGACAAGATTGATGTTGAATCATCATTAAAGACATTAAAAATAATATAAGCTTATAATGTGGGGGTCTTTAAAAAGGACTACACAAACAAAAGGGGTGTGGCTAAACTGCGCTTGAACAGTCAGCGACTGTGACGGCATGTCGAGACTGACTGGTCATGCAGAGATGCCATGTACTCCTAAAGAAATTCTCAGCCGTCGGATTTGTTTCAGCGCACACGAGGACAAGGACAGTATTCAACTTTTGGTCCGTTCACCTCTCGTGGGACCCTGCATTGCTTCTGTCTGTGTTACGATCTCGATCGAGTGGTAATATTAGCCCCCACGGCGCACGTTAACGTATGACAGCTTCTTGGAACTTCTCAATCTCTCTGCCCTTTTTTGGTAATGTGCGTAGCGCTTTTTCCGGAGCGGTATTCCCGCGTCTTGTCTCACTTCCCCAACCCTGTCCTAAAAAATGTTTTTTACCTAAACCGCGCATTTTAGCAATAATATGCGTATTTTAGCGTGATGTAACACCGTCCTCTCACTATCTTACATTGATAGCAGCTGAAGTTGGGTTCATTAGAAGATACTAATTATTGAAATTTAATTAGAAAATACTAATTATTCTTGATTAACCATATCATTTGGTTAATTGGTTTTGTGTTTCTATATGTGTTCTATCCGAGAAAGAAGAAAATAATAAAGTAGGATATGTATATGTTTGATATATTAAGTAATGAAAAATGTGATATTTATATGGTTTTGAGTAAGTGTTCAGGAGGAAGGCAAGAGTACCGTAGTGATGAAGAAGACGAGGAAATTAGGTGACCGGAGCAAGGAGGCGGAGCTACGGAGGATTCTAAGGGGATTGGGTTCATCTCCGCCACGGTGCTCCTCTAAGTGTGGAAGATGCACGCCGTGCAAGCCTGTGCATGTTCCGGTGCCTCCGGGGACGCCTGTCACCGCCGAATACTACCCCGAAGCTTGGAGATGCAAGTGCGGCAACAAGTTGTACATGCCATGATCTTTTATAATATATATACTCACATATATACATTATATAATGAATTATATGCATGTTCGTCGTCATATCTAATGTCTCTACTCAAATATTTATTAGTTATTATACATTAGACATGTTGCTAGGACAACCCCTACTTGAAACTTTTGCTGATGAATTGATTGATGATGCCCATTTACATAATTCATGAGTATGTAATTTCCTGTTCAAGTAAGGTCGTATGAGTATGTAATTTTGGTGTCAAACAAATATGTATTGGCTTCTTGAACGTACGGGCTTCCTAATATCACATAGGTTTAGGCTCGTAACATTTGGACTAATAGGAATAAGCCAAAAGCCCAATAAACATTTTTTCTTCGCACATATATAATCGATCATGCATCCACGTAAAAGTATAAACATCTATTTGCGGGACTCGTTGAGATTTCATTTAAATTTTGTAGTCATATCAAACTCACTCAAGTAATCTATTCGTATATACTGATAATATATGCTAACGTATTACGTATTCACATACAGCTTACACCATTCACACATAGCCCATGTAACAATTTAAAAGTCGGTCCTTTTTTTGTATAAAGTCATTGACTGACTGATTCTTCTATTGAAAAGCTATTTTATGCAAAATTTCAATCACGATGTGAATATGGTATACGGCCCATGTTATTTCTTATTCTACTTTAGAAAAATAATCAGATTACCGACGCGAGCAAAGATTATTATTTTCTGGCTACAAGTCTATATATAACAGAGAAATAATTAGTCAATCAAATTAAATAATAGAGGAATAATTAGTCTGCAATCAGAGATTAATTAATAAATAATATAAGCATATCTCAGCAGCACCGATTTTTCAACGGCCGGCCCACAATCCTGAACCGTCCAGCTGGAAGCCGGCGTCGAGCCGTCCACCGTTGGGATATTGCCACGTGTGTAAGAGACACCTGCCGTTGTCTCGTGGAACATGTTTTGTTATTAATTTAAAGTTACTAACCAAGTCGCTATCTTCATTACCTAAGAGTTGAATAAAAAACCACATGCGATGAGACACGCAAAAACTGATATACGAAATTCATTGATGTATTATTTTTGCTAACCATAATTAATACTACAAGCTTCTGAAATATTCTAGATGTAAAAAGTACGAGAAGAGTTATGAGAGTATGTTAGGTGATTAGATCACGCGTAGGTAAAGGAAATGAAGTAGAAACTATCGACAACATAATAATTGAGTGAGTACGAAGACCACGTAATAATTTGTGGAACTTGTCATGCATAATAAAAGCAATTAGGTGTCGATTGTACAAAAGAAACAGAACGACAATAATCACTTTTTAATATAACTTTTTCATTCTATATGATTTATGGAAATAGATATACATATGCATCGACTCAAAAATAGATTTTTAACACAGTTGACTTATATAGTATTATTTTTTGAATGAATTTTATCAAAGACTATCAATTACATTATTTGTTTAAATTTGGCTTCTTGTGTTGAATAGATGGATTGTTAAAAACATTAAAAACCTTTAACATTTTATTTTTTTTGAATTTGACAACAAATAAAGTCTGTAACGGTTACTAAAAAAGTGCTTTCAGTTTAAACTCTTTTTTTTAGGCATCTCTAATTGCTTTTTTATCCTTAATCCATTATTCTATTGAACTTATCTTTTTTAAAAAAACTTCCGCGTTACACCTTAAATTCTCGTCCATTTAAATACCTAACCACTTCCTTTTAAAATTCTTACTCCATAAAAAGTAAACACAACAAAGAAAAAACTTCCCCAACAAAAAAAAAAAAGACAAAGAAGAAGAATTCGCTTACGTGTTCCTACCATCTGCATTACGCGCAAACGAAAACAGATTCAAATTCTCCGGCGAAGTCTTCCAATTCATCAATCATCATCTCTAAATCGATCTCTGGCTTCATCAATCATGCCAGAGATCGAGATTATCCCCTGCGACGACAACAACGCCGCCTTATTCGGCAAATACGAGCTCGGAAAGCTTCTCGGATGCGGCGCATTCGCTAAAGTCTTCCACGCACGTGATCGTCGTAACGGTCAAAGCGTCGCCGTGAAAATCCTCAACAAGAAGAAACTCCTAACAAATCCAGCTCTAGCCAACAACATCAAACGTGAGATCTCAATCATGAGAAGATTATCACATCCAAACATCGTTAGACTCCACGAAGTAATGGCTACAAAGGCGAAGATCTTCTTCGCTATGGAGTTTGTTAAAGGAGGTGAATTATTCAACAAAATATCAAAACATGGACGTCTTAGCGAAGAACTCAGCCGTAGATATTTCCAACAGTTAATCTCTGCTGTTGGTTATTGTCACGCTCGCGGTGTTTACCACCGCGATCTCAAACCGGAGAATCTGTTAATAGACGAAAACGGAAACTTAAAAGTTTCAGATTTCGGTCTTAGCGCGTTAACGGATCAAATCCGACCCGACGGGTTATTACATACCTTGTGTGGTACTCCGGCGTACGTTGCGCCGGAGATTCTATCTAAAAAGGGATATGAAGGTGCTAAAGTTGATGTATGGTCTTGTGGAATCGTCTTGTTCGTTCTCGCCGCCGGTTATTTACCGTTTAACGATCCGAATTTGATGAATATGTACAAGAAGATTTATAAAGGAGAGTATCGTTTTCCTCGTTGGATGTCTCAAGATCTGAAACGTCTCATTTCTCGTCTTCTAGATATCAACCCTGAGACTAGAATCACCATTGATGAGATTCTTAAAGATCCTTGGTTTGTTAAAGGAGGTCTTAAGCAAATCAAGTTCCATGACGAGATTGATGATTGTGAGAAAGATCAGAAAGTGGAAGAAGCTGTGAAGAGTTTAAACGCGTTTGATTTGATTTCTTACTCGTCTGGATTAGATTTGTCTGGATTGTTTGATGGCTGTAGTAATTCGGTTGGTGAATCGGAGAGGTTTTTGTCGGAGAAGTCGCCGGAGAAATTGGCGGAGGAAGTGGAGAGGTTTGCGAGAGAGGAGAATCTGAGGATGAAGAAGAAGAAGGAAGAAGAGTATGGATTTGAAATGGAAGGGCAAAATGGGAAATTTGTTATCGGGATTTGTATTTCGCGGTTGAATGATTTGCTTGTGGTGGTGGAGGCACGGCGGAGAGGTGGTGACGGTGATTGCTATAAGGAGATGTGGAATGATAAACTCAGGGTTCAACTTATTCGCGTTTGCGATCAGACGTCGCCAAACGCGGTTATTTAAAAAAACGCTATGAAGTTTCCTTACTGGGCTTTTGAATTAAAACGCTAATCGCGTTTGGTTGGTTGGATTTGGCAGTGGTTATTTGCGTTTTTACTACTTTTGTTTCAGAATTAAAAACAGAGAAAAAGAAAAGAAAAATTAATGTATCAATACAATAAAACTTTTAAGAGTCTCTCCAAGTCTGACACCTCAGCTTTTTAGGCTGCTCTCGGATTGACACCTCATTAAAATGAATACCCAATCAAAACATAACGATTAATATATCTCAACATTTTTCGTCCAGTAATAATCTTTCTCGTTTCCACGTCATTTTCTCTCTCACTAATAATGTTTTTTGTGTTACAGGTCCAGCCCAATTGTTTTTGTTTGCCCACAAAAAAACAGTAAAAAAAACCCAAATTGAGCCTACTAAAACTTGTCGATGCTCTAAAGTGACGATGGCAATGTCGATGGCAACGATGAAGGTGACGAGCAACGCACACCCGACCACCAGAGGAGAGAAGGAGCAGTTCAATTACCGATACTCTAATCGAATGACAATCAAATTAGGAGGAACAATAGTCTCAAACGATTGCATATGCCGCTCTTCTTTCATAATTGTATAGAGCGTAGAAAACGAAAGCTTTGAAAGAGTTCTAAAAGATGAGCTTAGTTCTCAAATTCAGGCGAAGAAGAAGCATAATTCGATCAGAGGAATCTCCCAACAGATCCATCGACGTTTGATCGAACAGAGCACCATACTCCACCAACGGAGCGTGTGTTCTGACTCATAGACGATATCTCTTCTTTGTCGCTATCAGAAATCTCCGAACCCTTGCTGTTATGAAATCTGGATCTGGTGGGATCGTGGATGGATCGAATCAGAGACAAAGTGGTGGTGGTGCAAGTGAGAAAGCTAAAGTGGAGAAGATTGTGCTTGAGATAAAAAATTGTAGTCTTCTGATGATTAAGCTAAATGAGTTGGAAAGTTTTACAGATTTGGGTTTAAAAGAAGCTAAAGCATTGGTGGAGAATAGTCATGCAATTTTGAAAGCTAGATTGTCTAAAGAAGAAGGTGAGAAAATCGTTGAGAAGTTGTAAGCTCTTGGTGCTAAAGTTATTGAGTGAAATCATCAATTTGTTTTATTGGTATATATACAGGTGATGATAGAGACGGATTTTCACAACTTGGTTTGTCCCAAAGAGTTTATCTTTCGCTTCTTCTCTGGTCTGTCTTTTTATTTTGTTCTGTTTTCCTCGAGGAGAAATGCTGATGTCTTGTCTAAAATCTTGTAGCTCACTTTAGTGTAGAATGGTGTAAGATTTTAGCTCTTGTGATTGGTCTAATTCTGGGTTTTTGGTCTTTAAGAGAAAGATAATATGGTTTAGTTTAAGCCTCTGTAGACTGTTAAGCAATGTCGATTTAAGCTGAAATTTTCTGTGTTTTTTTTTTCTCTTGATACAAAAAGCAGTCAACTTTGGTTTTGAAACATACTGGAAAAAATTACTCGTCAGTTTGTGTTAATAGATTTTTGTGAATGTTTATCCTAAATTTTAATGGTAGCAGGTTCATATGCCTAAAGTCATCACTTTTTCTTGCTTTGTTTTCTTTTCAATTCAAGAACTGAAGATGTTCTCCTCTCACAACAAGGTCAAGAAGGACAAGAATGCTGAGCCAACAGAATGTGAGGAGAGGAGCAAGTTTCTCAGGTACTAACAACAACTTTTATGCCTTTGTCTTTTAATTAGTCTTTGTGAATTATTCATCGTGAATATGTTAAAATTTGTCTTATTTTAGTGATTATCATCCAATTCAGAGATTATTTGTGGGTTCCCCTAGACGATTATTGATGTGATCATGGAGTAGATACTGACTGATAGATCCAGTTCTCAACTTTGGTAGTCTAGAAATCTTTGAAGAAGCTAGAGTTTTTGTCGATTATCATGTGCTTTCTTATTTATTGAAGATTAACCCGTGCAAGTTCCTATGACTAATTTGACTGGAAAAAATGTGCTATTTAGAATCTTGAAATGAAGTTTAATTTGTTGCTGCATAGAGTCTAGAGTTTGATTTTGCTTTATCTGTCTAGAACTTGTCTCTCTTCCCACTTTTTGAATCGGTGGTCTTAAGGTTATTCTTGAAGCGTAATGTCTTAGTTCATATTGTGGTTATTGCCAGAGGGTGAAGCCGTTACTGACACAGCTAGGAGCAAGTTTTAAAGTACTTGTGCTCGATGAAATGAGTAAGAAACCAAATCCCTGTCAATACCTGTATATTTGTATTTCTCGATGCTAAGTTACAACCAATCTCTACTTCATGTTAGGTGATGGAGGTGAGATCCAATTAGCTTTATCAGAATGGACTGGACAGTGCATAGTTCCAAACGTCTTCATCAAAGGAAAACACATCGATGGATGCGATAGTGATTAAGGAGTTTCTTAAAGTCATAGAGACATAGACTTAATTTTTTTTTTCTCGCCAGCTTTTGATTTTCTTTTAGCTTTCCACAAAACATTGTGTTATAAAGTTCTCTCATCAATTCACCCATCATCAATTCCACAAAACTCCTTTTAAATACCTCTGCAATTAGTGCTTTAAGTTTCTTTTTAAGGTTCCTGCAAAATATCCATATTTGAGTTTCTTAGTAATGAAAGAGTATTACGCCATCAAAATTGTTAGTTACTCTTTCTCTACGAAGTCAATTTCAGCTACTGGAAAAGTATTAATCTGAATCATTATAGCTGGATCATGTTTCCAATATTGTTACTAAATGCTCTGTCTTAAGTAAAAAAAATTCTATAAAATATCCCGCAGCGTAGCGCGGGTTTCGACCTAGTGTATTTAAATACTGTACCAAATTGTAGGTATCTATTTTGTGCTTTTTGATAAATGTGTTACTATGTACAACAAATCTAAAATTGCATTTGTAGATACTTTACTCTTTTGTATAATGTAGAAAATATATTTCTATTTATAGTTTGGATTATTTTACTCACATACATAACTACTTTTTTAATCAACCACGCAAATTATATTAAGTTGTGTATGGTAAACAAATTGGATGAATAAATTACTGAAAGCGAATTAATTCAATGAATTAGAAAAAAGAAACTGGAGAAACAAAATGAAATAATCTCTAAGACACACAAACTCATCTAAATTCGCGAAAATAGTGGTTAATCTGTATATGGTAAAATCTTCATTAATTAGTTCTGAATAGTCGATTAGAATTTAGGTCCATTCAATGGTGATACCAGGAAACGTTGATACCAAAAAATTTTGTAAGAGGACCAAATTAGTAAAGACTGTTGTTCAACTTTTACCTTGCCAGTTTCAGATTTCTGCTATCTAATATGGCTTCTTCAATTTAATATTGTATACTCTATTATTGAACATATGAAATAATTGAATGGGAGTTCCACATCCAGTGATGAAAAAGGATAAAAAAAAAGTATGTATAGCCTCACCGAACTTCAAAAATTAAAAACAGTTTGCAGCTTTATAAAGAAAAAAAGAAGAAGCTATTATTGTCCACTTGATTGGATATTACAACTCAAAATGAGTGAAGGTTAAGGAATCATTATCATTATTAAAGCATCATCATAAGCACCAGCCTTTCTTATTCATCTCAACATCATTTGTTAGGCCAATTTTCAAATTTTAACTAATTATTTAATTTAATTTTATATGATTATTGAATTGCTCAAATTACAATTTCTGCCCACCTTTTGGTTTTAGCTAGGCGCAAAGGGAAAAAAATGTGGCAAATTATGTTGTTTGGTGTGAATTAGGAAAGTAGATATAGGGAAAATGTGGTTGATGAATTTAAACACCTCTTTAAAAATAAAATGTTTTTGTATCTGTGAAAATAAAAAAAATAGTTGGTGTATTTTTACGTAAGTTTTCCTATTTTATGTGTTATCAGTTAAAACATATAGTGATCGAATTTAAATAAAAAAAATTTTGAGATTAGATTCAAATATATTATAATTCTTTAATATACAAGTTTTTTCCTTAAAAAATTCAAAATTATTTTTAAATTGCTTAGATTTGTTTTTTTTTTATTATGTTTTTAAATTATTTTGTTTTGAGTCAAGTTCCTAAATGAATATTTTAGGCTTTTGAGTGAAATTAACTTATCAAATTAGCAAAGTAACAATTGTTTACTATTTATTCTTTTAATCGTTTGACATGATACCATTATCCACCTAAGTATATCTCGGAAGTGGCCTCTTTTATGGACCAAAATAATTTATTGTATTAGAGGTGGATTGCAAGATAATGATCTTGAAGTATTCAAATTTAAATCATTCTAAGAGCTTCAAAGTGGTTAAAGAAAATTATGTACGTACGAAAACTTGGGCCAATCATCAGACGACTTAAAAGATCAACTTAAAATGGCTTCTTTCATCTTTCCGACGATAGCATCACAATGCTCAAATGTTCTATATGTTTCTGTCTATCAGTGCTATAGACCAAAATATCATCAAAAAAACACCAATATGAACTTCCTCATATACTGCCTAAATAACTCATTCATCAGAGCTTGAAAAGTAGTCAGAGCATTTGTTAACCCAAACAGCATTACCAATAATTCGTAGTGACTGTCATTGGTTCTGAATTCTGTTTACTCAATATCTTCTTCCTTCATTCTGATTTGATGATAACCTACCTTTAGGTAAAGTTTTGATACTCCAATTGCGATTAGTCACGTAATCGGCGTAAGAGATGGAGTTAGGTATGGACGTTGGCCTTTGATTTGATTCTCGCCGTCGCGAGGAGCTCCAATTTGAATCTCATCTCTCAAAAAAACTTTTTGTGTATTTGGAATCATAATCGTATTCAAAATCTTGCGCTGAGAGAAGAGAGAAAGAAGATAAGAACGTAAGGATTTTATCGCTAATCTAAACACCATAGTTCCATTAAGCTCATCCAAAAGCTGATCAATCATTGGGATTAAAAACTTATTCGGGATAATCATCCTATTTAATGCTTTGTATTCTATACGAAATCGCCATGTTTTGTCATTTTTCTTCACAAACAACTCTCTTAAATATCATCTCTTTCACCCAATTAGAAGAGATAGTTATTGAATCTCATCAGTTTTTTTTCTCCAAGTTAAATAGATTTTATAAGAACATTTTTCTATTAAAAAAATGTACAGATTCTGAATCTTCGTTGATCTGGGGAGGAACAAGTCTCTCACAAAGTACCGTTGATGCATTAGTGATGATAGAAAAGAATCTCTTACTAATAAAAGGGACTAATTGAAGCTTTTCAAGCCATCCAAATCAGTTATTTTAAAACTACTTTCTCTACTTGCCACGTCAGCAAGGAAAAAAAAATTAAAAGAAAAACGTTTGCCTACGACAAAGCCCAATCTCTTTCCAAAAAAAAAATATAAGAGAAGTCCAACCTACAAAAATCCATTCGCATTATACCCAATATTAATTAGCCCATCTCAAAACCTAAACTGTTCAAACTAAAGAAGAAGAAAAACCTAGAAACCCTACGTCATCATCGAGCCATCGTCTTTATCCTTACAAACTGTATCGATTCATTTTCACATTGCCACTGTAATCAACTCCCCACTTCATCTTCACTTCTCCATTTATTCACACCAATTCTCATCAAACGAAATTAATGGCCACTACCTTCAAAATCATAGCCTCTTACGAAAATCTCTCTATAAAACCTCAGCTAGCCGATCACACAGACAAACCAAAAAAATCCAAACAGTCACTACAATCAAAACATGATTTTGATCTTATTTGTTTCGATTGTACTCAATTTTAAAGATGTATGAATGTTTAGATGGTTGCAGCTGTTGTTGACTTTGTGCGTGAGCGTTTCGATGGGAAGAGACATCTGAATCAAGACCAGCCAGATTACACTTGACAACTTGAGGATACTTTGAAACATCTTTTATGATTTTGAGCAGTCGGTTTCTCCTCTGAGGCGTGAAGCATTGTGTTCCCCTGTTTCATGATTTCATAAAATGACCCCTGGAGGAGGAGCTTGCATATAGTGACAAGATCAGAGTTTAAAAAAGGAGCTTTTGACCAACCTAGAGTTCCAAGGAGATCTAGACCTGGCGTAAAGGTAGATGTTAAGAAGAAGAATTCACTAATCTCCTTAGCATAAGCGCATTCAAAGAAGAGATTAGACAACGTTTCAACTCCCCTGTTGCAAAAAAGACGATTAGAGGGGACATGAATTTATGGTATCCTTTTCATATAGTGAATCCTTCTTATGGTTCCTTAGGTTTGAGTTCGTTAGTTCCACTCTAAAATTTCGGAAAAAAAAAAACAAAACCGGTATTGATATCAAACAAGAATGAACCAAACAAGAATGGACCAAGAAGTCAGATGATACTAAGACTTCGACCACTGAGGGGCACATATATATTTTTAGTTTTCCAAATTGGTCTAAAGTTTGAGTCTTAGTAGTCATTTCACAAGTTTATGATGTTGTTATCTTTTACAACGTTTATCGTCATTGTTCTACTTGGTGATAAGGCATTTGCAGATTTCTAATGTAACTTAAGCACCGCCATATATACACTTTTTCTTTCGATAGTTACTAAATGTCACATAAGCGGGGGTTTGGATGGTTTAGCTTTTGATTGGAGTTTGATTGGAATCCCACTTATACAATAAGGTATAATCTTAGGAGTTTTGAATTAACTAATTACCAGGATATAATCCCACTTAGTTAACTGATGACCACCCTAGGTAAATCTCGAATGGAGTTTTAGTAGAAAAATATAGTTCTTAATTATTATTTTTATAACTATGTTACATTCCAAAATATATTTGTTTTATAATATATTCTTCTAAGCTTTGTTTTAAAATATAAATTTCGTTTTAGAAATTTTGCTTATTTATTAACAAAGTCTTTTTAACAATTCATTTCTAAACAAAATTAAAAAATCGAATACAGAAATTGAACGTGAATTAGTTTTCTTGAAAGGAAATTTGTAGAACTAAAAATAGAAAAATGGACATCAAACTTAAGTAAAACTACTTTAAATCCAAAAAGAAAGTCTTTCGTATAATTGGAAATTTCTTGCACTACACGCTTCACTTGTTCCAAAAAGAGAAAGAAAAAAACCAATAACGGAAGTGTAGCAAGCAAAATTGGAAAGTAATGATTAAAAAAAATGGAGAAATCGAGAAAAGAAATAGTGCTTTAATTTGGAAATTCAACTAGAAAAGGAGTAGAACTAAGGAAATAGTGCTTTAATTAATTTTGGAAATTCAACAAGAAACATCTAAAGAGATCTTCGGAGAGAGTGCTCATCATATAGAAGAAGAAGAAGAAGAAGAAGAAGAAGATGAAGAGGAAGAAGAAGATGAAGATGAAGATGAAGATGACAAAAGAGAAAATTGAGAAGAAGAAGAAGAAGAAGAGGAAGAGGAAGATGAAGATGACAAAAGAGAAAATTGAGAAGAAGAAGATGAGAAGAAATCATGTGTTTAAGAAGATGAAAAGAAGGGTTGGGGTTGAAGAAGACATTGCGAATGAGAAGAGGACAACA